AAGGAAGGAAGGAAGGAAGGAAGGAAGGAAGGAAGGAAGGAAGGAAGGAAGGAAGGAAGGAAGGAAGGAAGGAAGGAAGGAAGGAAGGAATTACACACTAACTTGGCAGCTGACATCCATTCCAGCCTCCAGAAGCACCTGAACGACAGCTTTGTGGCCATTACGTGCAGCAAGATGCAGAGGAGTGTGTTTTCTTGTATTACAGTTCATCAGGTTTGGATAGGCTTTGATGATCATTTTTACAACGCACAGACGTCCATAAAGCGCTGCCAGATCCAGAGGTGTTTCCAGTTTGTTGTTTCTTATTGTGGGGTCTGTCAGCTCTTCTAGCAGAACAGCAACAACTTCTGAATGACCATACTGAGCTGCACAATGAAGTGCTGTTTCATTTTCATTGTTCTGTTAAAACAAAACAAAAGCTTCAGAAATGCATGTGTTATCACGCAATATAAATGCTCAACTTCTTTGGATTGCCTCCATGAGATCACTACAGGGGCAGGGTTTGTGATATAATATATGGTAATGTATGTTAAATGCTTCAGAATTACTCCACTGAAATGTTAATAACGTATTAATACTTCAGCTGGCAGCTCTCAAGCAGATGAGCTCCCCATGTGTCTACATTGCACCCGATCCATTTTAACGACATGCCCCTCAAAACCTTGCAGCTCCTGATATGTAACCTTCTTTGATTCAACTGAAATGATGATTGAGTCTGACACCRAAGCCTCTCTTCTTATTTTTGCATGTTTTGTACCATAGTAGTTTATTGTGCAATGAAAATGTATCAGGCACAAGGTTATTTTCATGTATCACTATAAAAAGTTGCTACCAAGACAACAATTAAAACTTGGAAGAAGATAAAATAGCATCTACAGAAAGACTTTACAAATCACTCAAGAAGTTGGTCTTCTCAGGGCCCCAGGGAGAGGTATGTATATGTTTTAAGGTGTAGGAGTATATGCTGTGGGCTAAACAGGTTTTTGTTTTACAGAACAATGCCCTACAAGTGTTTCCCAAAACATTATTCAATAAACTTAATAATAAATATTGAGAATAAGCATTGTCTTTTTTAATTGTTTTCTTCCAATTCTGTCCATATACTTGCAATCCCAAAGAGACAAATAACTTCAGGCAAAGAGAAAAATAATTTATCGAGCTCTCTAAATTCTATATGCTATCTAGATTATTATTGTATCATATATAGACTTTACAAAGCCTTAAAATACACTAGACTCTATAAATTTTGGAAGTATGTACATTTAATGCCTCTTCTGGTATATGATTTATAAAATGTGACAGTTTACAAATTCTGTAAAAGTACAAAACCAATAAGCTAATGTGTCTTATAAGAAATAAAAAATCAATGTATATTAAGGAAAGATACTAAAGAAGGGTAGAAATATGATTCTAAAGAAAGTGATAAATCTGAATCCATAGTTCTATTTCTCAAAAAACAAGCTGACAAAAGTTCAGGGGACAGAGAACTGGAAATAGTAGAAAAAAATGTCTTTTGAAAGMTAGAAAGAGTCAGAGATTCAGAGGAAAGAGGCTTTGGACTCTTACTCAAAAGCTAGCTAGGATAAGRCCAGCCATGCTGCACAGTAAAAACTAGAAAGATGGAAAAAGGAAAACTTTTTTTGGTAATAATATTTCTAATTCTGCAACCAAGAACTCAGTTATTGGGTTTGTGGTTTTAGCAACACTGCTGTCATTTTTATCTCTTTTTGCAATCTACCATGACTCAGATGAACTTGGGAAACAGAAGAGACAGATCAATACATTCAGGTAAATCAATATTGCAGTTAAACTCATCGAGTGCCTGCAACACCACACAAGGTCTGAGAGACTGGAATGTGTTTCCTGCTAAACTGCAAGACAGAGGCTGGAGAAGAGCCAGGTGGAAAGCGAGAAGCTTCCACGGCAGACATGATTTGATGACTAGTAAGTATTTGAATTATTGTGCATTATTCAAACCACCATGTGAGCTTTCTTTATTACAGAYCAGAAATTCAGATTAAAATATAAATACTTTCACAATACTACACTGCTACAATGTTCTGTCAACTACCTGAGACAAACTTTTTGTGCTCTAGTGACTTTTAGTGTAACCTTTATATAGTACTGGCAAAAGCAATTTTCTTATGTACAGTAGTATGCCCACAAATCACAAGCACAGTTTATTAAAATTTATTTTTAGATTTTCAATATTTCATGGACAGATAGATGAACAGGCAATTGCAACCTGATTTTGTGTAAAATTAAGTATGAAAAACAGATAATTGCACATTAAATGGACAATTGTGGTAATTTTTGCCTATAGTTATTATATTTATATATATAATAGAAATAGTTACACAGATAGATTATAGGTATMTCTATACTGACATTTTGTAAGGTAAATAACAAAATACATGTTTACAATTGTAACTGAACGACAGCTTCAGATCTTTCCAGTATCTGCTTATGTTTGAGGTTTTTTCCAAGAATTTATTGAAATGCTAGTTGAAGTATTTAGAATCTTTTGTCAATGATCTAATATTGTGGCTTAGAAGAATTCTGATTAAATTTTCAAAGGAACATAAAAATTAAATTTTCTATGGCCCTTTTCTCAAAATGTGATAGACAGATATGGAGTCCAAGCCACTGCTGTTGAGCAGCAAACTGCTCCCTCCAGATCAAGAGTATCCAGCTGAATTGCCACAAGGGTATATTTCCAGAAAAATATATTWTTAAACAGTCTGGTGCATAAAAGCAAAGTAACAAAATGTTACTATTTTCAGATGTATATTGTTAAACATTTCTCTATGGCTTTTATTTGTCAAATTAAAGCTACATTTCAGATCATGACCCATCAAACTGATACAAAACTATAAAGAACTAGGTATGACTGAAATAAAGCAGAAAAATCCAAGCTGGGGATACATGATAATTAAATTACCTTCATATACGCAGTCAGATCAGGCATTGTTATCAGAGCTGACAGGTACTACTTCMTTAAAACCTGACAATACAATGTTCTCCCTTCTTCAAAATGTAAATTAATCAATTCAATTCAGGCAGAGAAGAGTGGATGTAGGCTGTAACAGTACATTTCCTGGACTGGAAGAAACTGTCTTTATCCTCTCATCCCTCATGGAAAGATGAACATGAACATCTGTCCAGCATTACAAACTTTGTTCTTAAGGTATTTGTTTAAAGAAGACTTATAGTAAGAATAATAATTTTTTAAAACCCCAGCATACGATGGTGTTTTAGTAATAAAATTTATGTGACTCTCCTTCTCCCACAAATGCTGTTACTTCTGATAGGTCTTTTTTATGGACAAAGCTAACTCAGGTGTAACTACTGATTTTAAGGTAGTTTATCTTCATATCTCTAAAGCAAAACACTGTTTTGAAGCAATATTTTTACAACATGATAAAAATTCTTCAAGAAATTGGTAATAATTCAGTGATGTTGCCTCTGTTTTCAGTTCCATGCATAAACAATTGWTTCTGAAGTACAGAAAGTTTATGTGTTAACAATCATTGCAAYGAACAGGTAATCTGCTATAAAATTTCTGCATGCAAATTACCATTCTGTAATTAGAGCTTCAAATCTGATATCCAAGGGCTAAATAATACATATAGTGCTGAAGAAAAATACTAGAATCCTTGTAGAAATTTCAGATCCTTCATTATACATTAGAAACAAGACAGACTGTATGACTGAATGGTTCTCGAAAAAAGGAAGATCAAGAAATAAGAATCAAGTAAAGACATACAAAATGCAAAATAAAGAGTAGACCAATATTATGCAAACACAGTGTATTTTAAAAGTCTTTAATATTCATAATTAATAATATTTTTACCAAGTAGTTACTCTTACGCTCCAATAGACCTCTTTCAGAAATAAAGAAAGCATTCTGTGATTCACCTTTCAACCTTTCTTAGATTTTCTTCATTGTAACGTGTCTTTTCATGGGCATGATCCTGACTTTTTGTAGCCTTTCTTGGAATCTATTCTCTTCCACATACAGCCAGAACACAGGTGGCTGAAAACTGAATTGTGCCTTCAAAGCATTGCATCTCATCAGTATTGCAGGCTGTGCTACATCATTTAGATACYAAGGATGTGTGCCACTGCAAAATGTACAACACATCTCGAGGTCTATTCATTAGAGGGCAGATTAGAAAATACATTATACAGACAGTTATTGTAGCTTGGCAGTCTGATAGTGAAGAAGTACAGGAAGCATCAAGAGAATGAATGGCTATCATGAATATTATATAGGTCCTTGTGAAGCCACTATTTAACTGTGGGTAAATTTAGGACATTTATTGCACAGTTGTGTAGTGCTTTATTATTGCCAAGCAAGTTTTAAAGCTTCTGAAGTCCATGCAAGTACTGTACAAGCAATAACGACYTGAGTAGTGATTTAACAGACCTTTCCAAAGAATGCTCAACTCCTGTTTTATCAAAGGGTTTTGATGCTGAACTTAAAAAAAAAAGTAGACTTCCTAAATACTGAGCCATTTCTTTGTCACATAATCCCAATGTAAAGTAAGTGAACAAGACATTTGTTATGAAAAGCTTTTTGCTATTTTCTCAGTCATGAAACAAGAATCTAAGATAAAATTTAAAAAAGAGGGAACAATGGGAGATTTTGAAAACATATCTATATGCAGAATACACTCAAGAGTAGTCAACTGGAGGGAAAAAAAAGCAAAAATAAGGCTTTAATGACTAAGTAATTAAATAGAGAAAAAAGTAATGAAACAATATATGCAAGACAGAGAAAGGAATGACCTCAGTATTGTCTTACTTTATGTATTAAATCAGAAAGTTTCCTGAGAAGTTCCATGAAGAAATTAGTAATTCGGAAAAAATAAAGGAAGTTTGCCTGCAAATTACTCATTGTGAATCAAAATCAAATCTACTGACTTCCTCTTGAAGTTCACCTTTACTTATGTAAATATTATTAAAAAGTAATGTAATTTGGTWGACTGGTTTGAAAATAATTTTCAACCAATTTATTGCTACAATTTGCTTAAATCAAAAAACTTGCTTCTGCACTTTTTCTTCTAAAGACAGTATAGTAAGAGTTGCAAGGGAAACTCTGAGATTCCTCCATATAGTGTCAAATTTAAATGAGGGGTAAAATCAAATGCAGAACTTTAAAAGTACTTTGCTTGCAGACTACTTTGGAACTGAATTGAACTTCTGGAAGTCCCTGAGGTGTCACTGAGAGAAGCATATACCTGTGTTTCATTGGGATTATTTGGAGAAGTCAGTAAAAATGTTAAAATTTAGGTATTTACAACATATGAATGCATTCTAAAAGCTTTTTTTTTATATATTTGAGAAGAACTGTTGAATAGTATTAATGAAATGTGAATGGATTTTGTAGCAAGTATAATTTGATGCACAGGCAAATTCTACAGCACATTGAATCCATAAATATTTCAGAAGTGTACACATTTTTTCCTGTAATTTTTTCACTATTCATATTCTGTATATATATACATATATATTTAATTGGAATTAATTTTATTCATATTTAGTAATAAATATTTCTATTTATTCCTGATGTTACTCACATTTTTTCCTTCAAGAAGACCAAACACTACCATTGACCTATATGTGGCTGTTATTTAATAACCATTTTTTCATATATTAGAATTTGTTATTGATTATGCATATTATGATTAAAGTTGCCATAATAAATGTTTTAGCTATCCAGTTGTCTTTCGATAAATAAACATGTAAGTATTTTGACTATTAGCAGCACACTTTTTATTTTATTTGGTATAATGCATTAAAAAACCTTGATCTCATACTCTTAATACAGTTAATAATTTACATTATTTTTAGTCATCATCAATGAAGTTAAAAACTTAGATTTTTGCAATATAACCATCTTTTGTGATTCAAAACCTGTATCATACCTGTCAACTGAGACTCCAATATTAAACAGTGGTAGAATTCTTCTTACCTAATTMTTACGCTGTAATGATTTTGTGTGTAGAGTTGCCAGTCTACATTCCACCACCCCCATAATATAATTGTCATTCAACTGTTTGTCTCTTTACTATTTTTTTCCAATTTTATGTAACAGGAACAGCAGGGGGCATTCAGAGCTTTAGATGCTGGATATGGTTGGATATGATGCTATGATGCTACTTAGCTGGATTTTGAAAGTGTAAAATACAGTTTGATCAATTTACAATATACCATATAAAATYCAATTATTTCATGTAATATACATTTATGCATCATGCACTTGCCATTTACTTCTTTGTTGTGTTGTTTATTGCTTTCATGTAAGTTTTCAGAAGCATTTCTTTTGCATAGAATTTTAATAAGATACATGAAAACAAAAATTTATCACAAATTCCTTGCAATAATTTTTAAATTGCGAACAAAATTATTTTCCTAAAATGAAAACAATTACAACTTAATGCGATCCTTAGAAAAAAAAACAGAACAAATACAGGGGGTGAAAGTCTGACTTGAGTACACTATTTCCTGCAGTGAAAAAGTATCATGAAAAATGGCTGTCCTCTCCAATTCTCAAAAGAAAAAGGAAGAAAAATAGCCCGGRATTTCTTAAAAGCGGTAGTTTCAGCTTCACAGATCTGAGAGAAGTTATAAGAGCTGTGAGGAGTCATCTGCCTTGGAGAGCCTATTTGCAAATAAGCAAAACCCTGAGAATCCTACAGGCTCATAAGGATGTACAACAGGTGTTAGGGTGAGAGTGCCGTTCAGGTGTTATTTGAGGATATGTGCGTGGAGGTGGCTCTGTAACAACATGACATTTCCCTCTTTCTGTGATACTGAGAATATTCTCCTGTGCAGAGTGCTAATTAGCAGGGGAAAGTAGGTGCCAGCAAAATAGTCCACATACTAAACCTGGCCACTGTATAGARTGGAACACCAAGGAATTTACAAGGTCAGAAAAACTCTGTATGCTCGAGTTTAACTTCAAAGTTTAATAYGATTGAGCCTCCCTTCAAAGATTTAAGGTTCAATATTTTTTGTGAGGATTGCTCACATTTTCTATTATGAGGTTTTTGGGTTAAATGCATAAACAGGAGGACATCTGACAACCTTTTCTGAGTCAGTGGGGTATAGAAAAATCAGATGTATCCCTGCTTATTTGTGCCAGTGATCAAAACAGATACAGCACACTAATCAAGTTTGAGAATATTCTAAAAGTCTGGAGGTATTTGTGGGATTGGGAAGAAGTAAGTTTGAATTTACAYTTCTCTTTCTGCTCTGAAATATCTTTTTCACTCTCACCCTCTCTGAAGTTCCTGCACAGCTTCCAGTATTCTGTCAGTAGAATATACATAATGTCTTCAAGCAAATGGGTGACACACAATCAGGCAGATTCTTTTTATTTTGTTGCATAAATAAAACTCAAAAATCCCTCTCCTTGACAAAAGGTAACCCTACAATTCAATTGGTTTCATCCTACATGAAACTGCCAGTGAGAATGAGAAAATTGAAGAGTTATCTTAATCTGCAACTCAAATCACAGAATGACAAATTCTGAGCATTGGTTTTTTTCTTGGATGTGTCAGAGTATTATAGGATAGAAGATTGTCACTTGGGCATATTTTATTATTTTATTTTTCTATATTTCCTGCATTAATACTTGATATTGATATCATAGGTATTGTATGGATTCCAATGGCTAGGTACATAATATCAGATATCAAACAGATTACCCAAGGTATGGAATCTCACTCTGGTTAAGTGCGCAGTCAAGATCTCACATGTCTTRCCTTCTGGCCACACTAATGTAGGCACTGCGAGAGCAATTAATTTATTAGATTGCACTTTGCCATTTGAGGTGCTGTGGGGTACCAGGTGGTACCGTACCTGGACTTCATCACCCAGTCACATGGACCTGGAAAYTCTGAGCACCCTCTGTGATACTTTCAGGCCCATGCAGATGGCCCAGCTACTGCAGGGCCTTAGAAGGTACTGCATTTCTGTCTTTGGACAATTGAATCCGCTTTTTAGGTGCCTGAATAGCCCAGTTGGCTCCTGTGATCACACTGACCAGACCTCTGTGGAAGCAAAAGGTGCACCTACAGGCAATGTAAACATTACAGCTTAGGTCTGAATCAGGAACTGTCTCCCACTGTCACATTCCAACAACTCTCTGACTACCCTGGCAAATTCAATAGCTTCATGCTTACCACCTACTTCTAGTATCTTAAGCAGCTGAGCCTGGATGGTGTCAAATTTTAGTAATCTTCTTTCTATTTCTAAATACTAACCCTATGAATGGACCATGTAAGAAAACACAGAATAAAAACAGAAGGTGTACCATATGTTTGACAACAGAATGCAACATGCTTATACTGCCCTTTTTGTACAGCCCTTACTGAATGTAATATTCTCATAATTTTTTCATGGTCTTTTTATTTTTATGTGTCATTTCTGCTGCACGTGCATACATGAAGTCCATCTGGTTGTCATTTCTTCTGTGTATCTGATAATTTACAGTAATATTAAAATATACCAAGGATATTCACTTTATCTCAAAGATTTTCAGGAACTTAATATCTAATATAGTAAAATGTACACAAAGTTTATGCAAATTTAAAACCATACATAAAAGATGCATTGTTAGGTAGGTTTTCATGTGATTTTTCAAAAGCAAACTGGTTTTTCCATACTTTTTTTAATCCAATATTCTTTRGGTCAGTGCCCATCCAGAATAAAGGTATCTGATAAGCTTATAATAGAAGATTTTATCAGTCCTGGAGAAGAAATTACTGAATAGAAAATGAAAAAGAGACCTTTTTTTTTAACTTGTCTCTAAATTGATCAGACCTAAAGAATATGTGCTGCTCTTTTCTGATGATGTGCACAAATATTTTTTTTCACTTCACCTGTTCRTTCACTCTGGAGTGTGATGGTCCATGACGGATGAGAATCTTCACAATATCTACATCTCCTCTCCAAGCAGCCAAGTGAATAGGAAAGTAGCCTTTATTATCTGCTACATTWGTTGATGCTTCATACTGAAGTAATTTGAGAACTATATCCCTAGAAAACAGGAGGTAAATATAAAAATTGACAGGAAGCTGATTTTATTAAGTGTTTACATGAACATACATATTACCACTATTTTTATCCTGGAAAACAGAAAAAAATCCCAAACCTGTGTTTCAGCTACAGAAAAGTGAAGACAAATCATTTCTAAAACTGAAACATAGTAAAACATAGACAAAATGCTATTAATTGTAATGATTCTTACTTCTTATGAATACCATCAACAATTTTATCATCTGAATTTGCTTCTTTCAAAATTTTTCTGAATCTGCTTCTTTAAATAGGATCACATGGCCACAGAATCATTTTTAGAATTTGCCCATCCAGGCCATGTGCATGTCCCTCAAGGCACAAAATGCAGAGAAGTACTCTTGTCCCCATCACTGTTGAATTCTGGAGGCAGGATGACAAGAGCATAGTTTTATGGAAACATTTCTTGCAGTAAGGCTTAAGTAAGTTTTCCCTCTTCTTTAAGGCATTATCTCAAAGACAGTTAGGAAACAATTCAATGATGATCTTGCTAGATATATACTACTTCTATGAAATAACTGCTTCTATTTTCATTTCCCATATTCAGCTGYCTTTTAGCAGTGAGGGAAAAAGTGACTTATTGCCATTTTAATTCTCTATATTCCTTTCAGTACATTTGGTGTGGCTTATCATACATTAAGYGAAAGATTACTGTAAGTTGGTATATTGCATCCCTGATTTTTAAGCTGGCTCCTGTACTTGACTTCAAAAGCTAAACATAAAAATCAGCTGTGTGGTATGATAGTGTGACCAAGTATGTCAGACAGCAAATAAATTCTGTACTATTGCTGCATTTGTTRTCTCATAGTTTGAGACAGTCAGGCCTCATTAGTTATTAAGCTAAGCGAACCTACAATCTAGTGTGGGCAGTTCTATGCACACTCTTTACAAATATGGAAACGCCAATTTACTGATTTGGCTCAAAAAATCGGTGAGGGAAGGAGCTCAGTGTAGCCTATGTTATGACTAAAAATGAAACCCTTGGCTACAAATTAAGACAGAAGACAAATYTAAGGCAATTATTCTTACAACCTTGATGGAACCTTATTAAATTGCCTATTGAAAGAAAAATGTGGCATATTATGAGGGAATATTTCCAGGTCAAAAGAAACTCCCAGTCGACTTCAAAAGATACTGCAGTCATCATATCTAAGCTCTGAGGAGAATTTAAGCTGGATTTTGACTACCCCTGACAAGGGCAAATTACATGAGAACAACCAAGAGAGAGCAGCTCCACTGCAGAAAGGCTTTTGCTACACAAAAAGTTCCAGAAAAGTGACTCCTGAGGGAAACTTTTTGGTACACATAAGGTTTGAGAGACTTCTCATAAAATAAGAGTTGGTGTTACAGTAAATAGTCCAATGAGAGCTAGAGATAGGCAGCAGTTCCTTTGAAAAGAACACAAAACAAAACATAATTGAATCAAGTGGAAGCAAATCTAYAAAAAAAAAGCCCTCCACAGATTAAATCTATAGATAATTACATATAGAAATTGTTGGGAAGATTCTATTGCAAGATTCAAGCTAAAAAATAGAGCATCTCCTTCATCCTTCAAGAATGCCCTGACCCATCACACTTATTTAGGGTGAGTCTTTTTTAGTGCTTTGTCAGAACTTTTTCATTTTGTAGAAATACATTCCAGAGAGGAGAAGACTGGAAGTCCTTAGCCCAGTAACATTACWGGGCTAAGTAAAATTAGTTAGAGAGACTGAGACTCCAGTGCCTGCCCCAGATATGATCTAATTASTTATATAAGGCAAAATAGTTTCTCAGGGAAAGAAAACTATCCCAGAATAACCAAGAACGAGAGAATTCATGACATACAGTGATCAGGCAAGGATTTGAACAATGGTGTCCAACAAGTATCCCAGACACAAATTCTTGGTTGGGTCATTAAGTCTTCTCACTTTTCCTGAAAAACTTTGAAATCTTTCAGGTTCCAGCTAGTGTAAAGCAGGAAAAATTAAAATCCCAGAAGTTTTTAAAGGACAGGAACTTCCCCTGAGTGTGAAGATTCTTGTGTCAAAGGATTGTATGCAGTTTTGATTTTGAGTATCAAGTTTGAAAACTCAAATAGAGTGTAAAAAAAATTTATTTTGTATTTGTAGTGACTAACAAAATTAGGACCACCAAATATCTGTGCAATTCTCTTACTAGCAGTGCTACCACTACAGTAGGATCAATATAATGTCTTRGATAACAGGTCCTAAACCCTCATGATTTATCACAAAATACCTCGTGATGTTTCAGTTTAACATAACAAGGTATAATTGTGATGTTGGTTACTGCTACTTATCCTGCTGTAAGTATAAGGGGTCATAGCAGCCAACACTGGACTTTTCAAAGGCTGCAGTCGTATCAGCTGCTGTACATAAGTCCACATTTTAAAGTTCTCCCTGACCTCAGCAAAATTTTGGCCAACGCTGTGTCTGAAAACACCATTTGGTTTTTGTATGTTTTGGGATTTTACAGTTTATAGTGCTAGGATTCACTTGAAATTACTGATAGTTTCAGTGTTCATACCGCAATATTTCTAGCTTTCTGGTAACTATTGGTTTATTGCCAGTATTAAATACAGTAAACCCAGCTTTCACCTATTTAAAACCAGAAATTTTTGTGAGCCAATGCTTGGGGCTTTGTCAACCAAAACTTAGCACTAGCACAAGACACAATCCATAAATCATGAACAAAAAGGCTAAGTATAACAGATGGTATTAAGAACTTCGACCTAATTCCATGGAGGTAAAAATATATTAATGGATGGCTATGAACCTTCCTACACAACTGAAACTTAGGAAAATGCATACTACAGTRCGTAGTTCATGAATATTTTAACTTCATATATTTATTTAGAAACAGAAGRTCCTATATTCATCAAAAGATTAATCTGTCCTAAAGAAAATAGGCACCTTTCTAGACTATAAAGACACATCCTAAAGTTTTAATTTTTCCATAGAAGTATGCAAAAATTGTGCAATGATTAAACTAAACACATAATAATTATGTATTCATGTGTTGCATTATGGAAAGTTTGAAATCACATTAAAGTTCATTCAAATCACTCTTAGTTTCAATTCATTATCTCCCACAGAAGAATTAACTAAAGCTTTATGTCAAGATTTTCTTTAGTGAAAATGCTGTGGKTTTTTCCTGCTTTCAATTGTATGATTACTAAATATTCTTTTTGTTTTACTTTTGCTTTGATAATAGTTAATCTATGCTGTTATTTGGATCACAAAATAAGTTCCTGAAATGTTCACACATTATGCATGTGTATATACACATAAAAGTATACTACAATATTTTCTGCTGCAATTTGCCAGCAACGAAAAAGCACTAGAGCCAAGACTAGTAACAATACCAAATTTCCCCAAAATCAAGGAAGAATTTGGAAGAAGCAGTATAGAATCAATAGCTTTTTAATCTACATTTCCCATTTGTCATTACTACTTATTGCTATGGATGACAGTGTCAAAACATCCTATATTAATATATTCCATTGAAATAAGGCCTTTTTAATAAGTCAAGGTTTGCCAATTTTCAGTATAAGTCTCAGAACAATGACATATTTTCTTACATTACACAGTTAAATACCATTCTACATAAAAACCAAATGTGAATCACTTACTTGTGTCCGTTTAAAGCTGCATGATGTAAAGCAGTATAACCAGAACTGTCAGTGCAGTTTATGTTTGGTCCTCGCCAAATGCTGCAAATAAATGAAATTGTGAAGTTAATTTTTTGACTTGGCAAGTAGAGAAGTGTCAGAAGTTTGATCTACAAATAATCTAAAGATCTCCGCAACAAGTGTGATTAAACTTGAAGAGATGAATTAACTTGAAAGGAATTTAAAATATCATATTGATATCAATATAATTTATTTATAAAAATAATTTTGCACATCCATCTTTGTAAGAATCATGAACTTTATGTAGGGAAGTCTCAAAGACTAATGATGGAATAGTCATTTCAATTAGATCTGTTCTCCCTCTATTACTCTGGTAATTACACTGAGGTTATCATCTGATCTTGTACTACTTTTCCACAAGTATGTATTTATTGGCTTTAGGTCAGCTAGACTAGAATCAAACAAACATAAGATTAGTGAGAACCAATCATACCGTTTAAAGGGGCAATAAAGTTATTCTTTTTACTTAACTTGATATTTTAACTCCCACTTTAAATGATTATGTTTTTAAAATAAATTAGATATACCTTTAAAACTAAGTTAATTAAATTATGTTTTGTTGTCTTTTTGTATTTTACACTCAGCTTCATTACATGTCATGTTTAACCAGTTTCCTGATCTATTATGGACTCTTCAAAAAACAAWAAAGAAGATATTTTGTTTCAAAGTGGAAAACATGGCTGCTAATGTACCAAAACCTGCAAATTGGATAACAGAGGTGTACTGAGAACCGGCAGGCTTTTTTATCTAACCAACCACATTTGAAACTGATTGTATCCTTTATACAAGCRATTTACTCTTCTGTAACACAGTTTTCAATCACTAGTATTACAACTTCCGGAGCACAAAATTATGAGTCCTGAATTACAGTCTGTTTTCCTTAGTTTCTAATACAGCACTAAACAGTAATTTTCAAGCCATATTTCCCTTCACTTTGTATGTTAGAATCAAGTGCTGAAATTTAAAAAAATAATTTGAAGCCAATAAGTAAAAAGAATTTTTCATACTGACATTTCTCATTATCTGCATCAATAAAATGACATGCTATGCTTAACATATGCTTTAAAAAAATTATTTTAAAAAAATTATTGAATCTGTAATTCATTACCTATTTTATGAAATATATATCTATATACATACATACATATATACATATATATATATATGTATATACACACACACACACACACACACACACACAATGGAATACTGATGTAGACTGGTCTCTTTTTCATTGTGCACATTTGAATGATTCATTAGCTCATAAAGTTAAGCAGTTGTTTTCCCACAAGTAATACTGTGTGCATACAGAATTATTTGTGTGAAACATTGTGTTCTGCAGTGAGCATAATTCTACATAATGCTGGATACCTCACCTCACCCTGCAATTTAATTTCTTGGAAGCAAGATTGAATTATTTTCTTGGGTGCAAAGAAGCAAAAAAAATAAGTAACTTTTTTTTTTAAAATCTGCTCAGATATATACAGATGATCTTTTCTACACATTTGTTCTTTTCTACAGAAGGCAACTTTCAGATAAGAAAAGTCACTCTAATCTTTTTAATTAAAGGAAATTATTTTAGCTTCATAGAATAGTAAAAATTGAGTCCTTGAACTGAGAGCTCCTCCAGAACAGACAGATGTTATTTATATGGCAAAGACAAGCTCTCTTTATCTATTGGAAGGAAAAAAGTCCTTATCTATTGAAACGGTGCAATCTGTTTTTTACTTTTGATAGGGTTTATKAATTATTTTCTTATTTATTTAATTGTATTTTCATCCTTTGATTTATACCAGCTTATAGGAGAATGACAAAAATGTCAGTGGTATAGAAAGTAAGGTTTTAAACATTAAAATAAAATCACACAACCAAACAGAACATAATTTACTTGGTTTTGATAATTTGCTTGCTTTGAATTACAGTTGKTAGGATTTGTCTATTGGTTGCTTTTTCAAAATGCAAGGATTCATCTACCATTCATGATGCACAAGGCACCACAAATCTAAAAAAACAAAAAAACAACCAAACAAAAAAAAATAATCTCACCCCTAAAAATTAAAAAAACTTCCCAYCAAAACCCCAAATAAATTCTCATTCTTTCTCCTCTAACTTTCTCCTTTAATCCATGCACTAATTAAAACATTGTTGTACTTCCTGACTCYGGTCTTAGGAAATACTTTTCAACCAAAGCTATACAGATAAAAAAAAAATCTGAAAATTTTATTAAAGAGTATATAAATCCACCTACGTGAAACTCCTCAGGACATGCAGGTTGGGAGGTTGAGAGAGAAAGGACAAAAGACAATGAGTAAATCCTGATGACTCAGAGACATAAGAGAGGATGGACAGACTAATCACTGTCAGTTCCCAAAGGATACACAAAGACATGCTCAAAATCACAGCTTGGTTATCAAACTACAGAACACAGCAAACACTAGCAGCACTCGGCTGCAGGCAGCTCTTTTCCCTTGGGCCAGTGACTTCAAGCAATACTGGAGTAGAGAGTGAAGAAAACCCTAAAGACCCCTTCTTTAGTATCATAAACACATATTATATGTGAAGAATYATTAAATATATTGATTTATCTGTGCATTAAAATACCTTTGAAAGCAATACCATGGAGAATGTGGCACAAAACAACTACTATTCAATCTCCAGAAAAGAAAATTTGTTGACCAAAGATTAGCATCTCTTCAGAATACTGTTAATATTGAACGTTCTCAAAAACATATTTCTTCTAGTATTTTGATGCAATCAATAATCAAACTTCTTAATGTGGCATGTATTAGTAAATTAGGAATCTGTTTTCCTATGAACATCAGTAAAATAAAATGTTCCTATCACTTAATGAATTTTAAGAAAATAATTGAACCAAATTTTTGTGCAAAAAAATAGTTTTCATTCAACAATGAATTAAAACAAGATTATCAGCTAGCTTCTTCCATTAGATCTTCCCAAAGTAAGGCACAAAGAAGTCTGTTGTACTATTTATTATTGATAAAAGCAGGGAGAGCTCCTTATTACAGTCTGCTCTTACTGTGGAGAAACAATATTGACCTTATGAACTGATGTCAAATATTAATTGAAAATACTCTTCACCTGGTAAGAAAATTACTACTGTTTCTTTTTTTGAATAAGCTGAAAAAGTTATATATAAAGTGTAGCATTTCAAAACAAATGTGAAAAGGAGAGATAAAAGAAAAGATGGTTAGTTGATTGATTTCTTATTTTGCTTTGCTTTTTACTCTATGGAAAGAAATAATTGTGAATTGGCTGTTGTTACACACAGATGAACAGAAAAGCAAGGAGGTAAAAACTTCTTCCAGCTAATCATCACACAGACACACTCCCCATCAGCACAAGAACTATGCTTGCAAGGTACACAACATTTTTCCATCCCATTTCCTTTCTGTACATATATCTTCATTATGTCATTTCATTATCATACTTTTTCATGACTATGCAATAATATATTTCTGGTCCTTATATGGTAGTTTTGCTAAGGTGAAAGGAAAATGAATTAAAAATATATTTCTTTTTCATGCATGGTTTTACCTATTATTAACATTCCTTTGCTGAATTTGAGACAAATCTTCAAATTACTTCAAGGAAAGTAAATTTAAATATAATTCTTTAGAAACAGTGGAGATAAAACACTTTTAGAAAGTCATATATTAAAGCCTAATAAATAACTGTACATGGAAAAAAAATTGAAAAATGTATTTTAGGATTAATTTCAACCAGGCACAGTTATAAGTACTACATTGAAAGAAGTAGATGATATTTTGAGTAAGGGTGTCTTTGATCTTCTTTCCAGTATCAAAAAAACCTGTTGCATGAAACAACTGAGAGTTAAAAATCTCAAATTAAAATAATAATAGCTATTTATTATTTTAATTAAAAATAAGAAGAAACAGATTATCAATTCAATTAATGTTAAATTTATGCTTAAAGCTTATTGTAAATATAATTCCAATTAAGTGCTTTTGTTGTATCAGTGTGAAATGTGTCTCAAAAACATTTCAATTTTGACTATGCTTATCTCATTTTGATTCCTGCTGTTTAGTTGTCTCAGTATAAATAATACAACAAAATTCATGAACAAGTATTCATGGGATTAAGTTATTCCAGTTCAGGTTCTAAAGTAGTTTATTCCATTTGCTTTGTTTAACCTTGATCTGTTTACAGTCTTGGCCTTATTGTAAATTTGCAAAACTGGAGAATTTTACCAATCTGTGATCTTCTTTCCATATGGATACTGTTCAATTCATGATTCTACTTGATATATCAAGTCTTGTAAATATTAAGAGTTTGATTATTTAGTATACAATGTTTACTTATTACTATACTTAGAGCTAGCTAAGTGGGTTAGAAAAAAATCTATTTCCAAATACGCGAACAGCAGAACCACCACTTACAGTGATAACACAAGCATGGAAGCAAAATGTGTAATTTAAGAAAACATGTAGAAGAAAGGGATCATGTACAACAATGTAAGACTCAAAAAACAGTATCTTACCAGTAATTACTGCCTTTCAAATTTTGTGAAATATCAATGCTAAACATTGATAGATTTAACAGACTGATAGATCTGCCCAGACTAAAATTTGGAGTAGGGTGGCAGCATGTTAAAGTACACAAATGTCCAAAAGGTAACTGAGAGTACTTGCTCACTACCATTCTTGCTGTTACAAGCTGTATTCTTGGTTGGAGAAGGATGGGACTTGTACAATCATTAGTCCAATGTGCCATCCACAGCTTCTCCAGAGGAAAGAATTATGAAAAGGTTGATTATAAATGACTGAAGTTCAGTGTGTGGCTGAGGAGAGGCAGAAAGCCAGACACATAGAGATACCCGAGTCCTGAATATCCAGAATAGCCTTAGCCATGATGAGTCTTACAAAGAGTCTGTATGGCCTTGTCCTTTGAATAACCTCAGGAGGAAAGAATTGCAATTGAAAGGAAAGGATTTTACAAAAGCATGTTTTGGTAGAGTTAGGACTTAAGAAACAACTTTAAAA